TGCTTCGTCTATTTTGGCTTCTATTTCATCTCACCTCATTTTATCAAACAGTATTCTTACTTAGGCTGGCACTGACCGACTCTTCCTCTTTTCCAGTGTTTGTTACCTGCACAGTGTCCTTAAGAGGAAAAAAAAAAAGCCTTCTTATTGGAGTCCCTACTTTAATAATGCTTAAATCTCATTATTCTGTCTTGCTCAAGTTGGGAACTTAATAAGCCTTTTAGCTCAAAAGTTTGGTAACTATAACCTTAAATGTCTTTTTTAAACTCTGAGAGGTCTTGTTTCTTTTTGCAGTGCTACCAATATCTTACTTTGTTTCCTGGGAATCAGTTTTGTCTGTTAGTAGCAGAGACATTTGACAGAGGAATTCTGATTTGGAAGCCTAATTTATAAAGTAAATTAGAGAGGAATTGTTCTGATTTAAGTGGTAAGGTAGTGGATATCCCACTGATTTGATCTTTACCTAGACACCAGTGGCAACCTCTGGGGTGGTCTGGGGAAAATAGTTTGAAAACATTGAATCAGATGATCTCTGAGCTTTCTTTTAGCTATAACATATCAGGATTCTATTCCATGTCATGATTCTATAAATAGTACAAAGTGCATGGCTGTATTCCTCACAGCCCTCAGCCCCTAATAGTGAGAACTCTGCTCAGACTAGAGCAGGTATTTGCAGCAGGTAAAATAGATTTACTTACTGAACATCTGCTTCTGCCTTTCTGATGTGCCTTCCTGGATTACTGAAGCTGGAGAGTAAGAAATGACGTTTCCAAGATTCCTGTGCAGTTAGGATTCTGGAAGTGACTTAGGCTCTGCCCATCAGATACACTTTCTCAAGAATTAAATTGGCAACATTGAAAGGTGATAGTGTATGTGGCATCCTTTCTTTTACCATGTGACTCTAGCAGGTGCAATTTGACTTCCTGAATCACCAGCTTCTTGATAAGGCAGAGGCAGCAGCTCCTCTGGCAGTGTTGTCCTGAGCCTAGTGTAATGTGGGGAAGGACAGAACACACATATCGCAAGTCTCACGTTCCGCATTCTTCTTTGGGCTCATTCCTCCAGCCTTCCAATGATTTTGTAAATGTCTAGTTCCCTGTACTATATCCCTTTTTGCTTGAAATAGCTAGAGTGATTTCTTTTATCTGTTATGAAACCCTACCTGATGCAGTGTTCATTGGTCGTTACTAACTTCAATTCTTTGACATTCCCAGTGTATGCAGAAGAGTTGCGGGCCCACCCATTCACTGATGTTACCCTCTCCTGCCATTTCTCCTTTGTGAAGGGCACAGAAAATCTTGAGTTTTCTTGGGAAAGAGAAGACATCAAAGAGGAATATGAGGTAGAGGATGATAAAGAATATTACCGCTTTTTCAGATACTATGATTTTTTTGACATTTTCTCAAAGTTGGTTTACCAGTTTCACAATAACACAGAGCAACTAGAAGATCAAAACTCCTTGTATGAGGGAAGAGTCTCTGTGGATCAGGATGAAATTTCTGAGGGGACTCTATCACTTTTGCTAAGAAATGTGGATTTCACAGATGAAGCTATCTACAAGTGCTCAGCCAGCACACCAGATGGAAGAGGCAAAAGTATAATTAAGCTAATAGTAGAAGGTAAGGGAATGTATTGAACTTTATTTCAAGTTCTGTCTCTGTTTATAAGGATAAGTTGTAAGTTTTCTCTTCTGACGTTCTCACTTTTTTGTCTTCTACTCGAATTGTTAAAGGTTCTTTTTATTCCCCTGATGAGAATCAGGTGTTTGAGACTTCAATTAATCTTAGCTAAAAATATTACTCTGAACAAAAGTTGCTGTATCTGTATCTGTATGCATTGTTTATTCACATGAACAAACAAAACAAAAAAAGAAAACCCCAAACAAAAAACAATACTGGTCTTATCCCAAACTCTCCAAACAAATTATAACATTGAAAAACCAAAATATAATACAACACAATAGTTCTACCTGAAAACTCAGATATGACATGTGGTTTAGTGAGAAGAGCCCTGCATTGGGAGTCAGAAGGCCCATGTTCTAATTCTGGATGACTTTGGGCAACTCGTTTAGCTTTTCGAGGCTTCACTTTTTTCACTATTCAAATATAGGTTGGACTGGATCAGTGGGTCTCCATAGAGCCCTAGGGATCCTTACCCTTCACAGGATTGCATGAGGAGCTGCCTTTTCCCACCAGAGACCTCATGAGGATTGGGGGAGGCATGCCAGAATTCCTCCAGGATAAGTGGGAAGAAATGGAAAAGTGGTGGTGGTGAGAATCATTTGTTGTCTTCAGTGATTCTCAGCAGAGTGTCTGAGGTCAGTGGAGAGTCTGGAGTGAACTCACTCAAAGAGGGGACAATTCCAGTAATAAAGACAGCAGTGGTAGGTGATACCTGGGGGGCAGGAACATACATGTATCCTTATTCTGTTCTTCTCTTACTATGCTTGGGTCAAAATTTTAACTACAGTAAGCCTTGAGATGTGTTGCCTACATAAGGAGTTAGTGTAACAACTGAGGGCAAGTTTTCTGCTAGCCTGAGCCTCCTGGGACTGAAATAAAAAAGGAACTAATTGTTTTGTTATTTTCTTTAACCAGACTCTGAAATGCCCCAGGTACAGTTTGACAGGATTGATGATGAAGATGTGGCCACGTGCATCTCCAAGGGCTGGTACCTCATGCCCAGTGTGACCTGGCTGGACCGGGCAGAGAGGGACCTGAGCAACCACAGTACCGTGGAGGTCCTGGAGGAGCAGATGAACGGCTTCTACAGGGTGTTCTCTGTCCTAAAATACCCTGTCAAGTTAAATGAGAAATATGTCTGCCGCATAAGAGAGACAGATGTAAACAACCAGCCCTTCAGAATCATCCGCAAGTACCCGAGTAAGTGGAAATCCGAAAGGAAGAGTGGAAGTAAGATGCATTTCACTCTAAAAAGTCATCATTCATTAATATGAGTATTTACTAGATGCCAGATATATTGGGCACTCCTGGGCACTTTGGGGATTTAAAGAAGCATCAGGAACATAAGCTGTA